CGAGCTATCATCTTCTACTCAAGTGTCCAATTTAATACGAAGTAATTTATTAAAGCGTCACACACCTCAAATCCTCTAGCTTCTAATGCATTTCTTGTGGATTGAAGACTTCAAATATTCAAGAGATCAAGTCATAAGAGCAATCGAGCATCACCTCACCAAAATGGTTCAAGCTTTCTAGCACTACATATTTATTTCTTCAATAACAAATTAGCAAGTTCATGGTAGTCCTTATCAAAGTTACAAGCCACTAATCTAAATAATTGGATTCACCCAATGTTATACTTCATCCGAATATAATTGTCACATTGTGCATTTGTGATAACCCCTCATATATACATATACTAGTATACTATATAACATAATTCTACGATATCTCTTAACAATAATCGTTCGAATTATACCATCTTCCCATCAATTAAATTATTTAATCATTTATAATGAAAAACAAACATAAACCATCACAATTTCATGCATCACAACAACTTTTTCCGAAAATCCGAAATCGGTTTATGTAATGTGGTTCCAGAACAGAAAATATCAAATTATAATTTAAAACCCCATAAAAATCATACACGAACACCAATTCAGAACAATTCAAAACCCCAACAAGAAAAATCAAACGAAAAAAGCAAATTAAAAATGAGATCTGACCTTTCCGGAGATAATTAACCAGCAATCCTTATTACTGTTGTGCTTTGAAACTTCGTCAAAGGTGTGAACTTTACCATCTGATGCCATTTTCACCCCTCTTTCTGATCCTACAAACAAAAAATTTCAAACAAAGATTAAGAAAAACCCCAGAAATGTACAGTCAATTAACAGACCCAGAAATTTAATTACTTTCACAAATCAATTGAAGTAAAAAAGATTGAATTTTTGAATCCAGATCAAGCAAAGATCTCTCGTTACTTACAAGAGTAGAACAGAGAAAGAGAGAGAAATAGAGAGAAAAAGGTTAGGTGTTACTACTTCCTTACCAACCAACTTTACAAACGACCAATTGTGGTAATTAAGGTGTGAGAAAGAAAGAGAAAATGCTTAATTTTTAATGGGCAGCAAAATCGACCCTGATTTGCACAGAAATATCGTGGTGTCCACAAGACTTATTGACTTTTTTTGCTTTGCACGACTGCCAGATTTATTAATAATTTAATACGAAGTACGAGTACTTTTTTTATGAGGAAAAAAAGCAAAAAGATAATTCAATTTTCTAACTCTGTATTTGATACGAGTAATAGATACTCCCTTTGTATTTAAATAAATGAAACGTTTTGATTTTTTATCTTAATTTTAATGTAGAGAAATTAGGAATATTGCTAGTTGTTTTGAGTTCATTGACTTTGTTCATGTTTTAGAGAAGCAAAGTGTGTAGCTCATGTTAAGGCTCACCTTAGCCCACTCGAATATTCAACTAGAGTGTGTAGGTGTTGTCCAAGTATGGAGGAGAATGTAGTGGCATCCGATTTTCTCTTAAGCTCTAATTGATAGGGAATATTCTCATCCAAGGTTTAGGAATAATTAGTCGTCATATGGCCTTCTCAAAAAAAAAATCCATAGTTTAATGGTTAAAATGTTAATGTTATAATCTTAAAACAACCTTGGGAAGAATGACAAATGGCCCTTAATCTTGTTTAGGGATGCTTTATTCTTTCATTTTCTTGAGTCAATATTTTTATTTTATTTTTTTTTATCATTTTTTGTTATTATTTTGATTGAATATTTGATTATGCTGATTGATTTTTTATTTTTTATTTTTTGTGTGTTTAAAGAGCCATAAGGATGGGGTTGAGAATCGATATGAGGATCTCCTAGTGTTTTTTTTTTTTTTTTTTTTTTTTTTGAACGAAGGATCTCCTTATTGTTCTAGTGTTCCCAAAATTTTAGTTGTCTTTTTCAAGAGTAGTTAAATAGCCTAAATTTGACTTTAATATTATGAAGATTCCAATTTAACATTTTAAGTTACTTAATTTCTTAGTTGCCTTTGGACCTCTCTGAAAAACGAAATTTGGTAAACAATACTAATGAATTACTAAATTCGTTTTTAGACATGACAAAAATACCTTTAACAGACAATATTCTATGAAATAGGGGGTGTTTGGTAATTGGCATTTTACCTAACTTTTGGCTTATTAGTTTGGTCAAACGATCAAAAAATATATTTGGTAGTTGGCTTTTAAGCAGACTTTTTCGCCAAAAGCTAATAGGAGTAGTTTTTTCTATTGAATTTTTGGCTTGTTGGCCCACTTTATCACTAATAAACAGCTAACAACCATATTAATTTTACCAAACACTTTTGTAAACAATTGGCTTAAAACACTAACTTAAAAAGTCAATCCATACAGCTAATACTTCCAATTAATTAAACAAGTCAAGCAAACAAGCCAACAACCAACCGCCGATTGCCAAACAACCCCATAAGCCAAAAAGTTCGCATAGTAACATTATCTTAAGTTAACATCAATTATGGCTAAAGAAAACTCGACAACAAGGATAATAGCTTCTTACAGCAATAGAACTCCTCGTAGAATGGTAGTATTTCCACTGCTAAGGATGATTCCATCATAACTAACCCCACGAAATGGTTTAGGATCTGTTACGTTTCACTTTATTTTCACATATTTTAGGTCCAATAAGTTCAATTAAAATAAGTTTTGATATGGGTCATTCAAGTTCAAATTACAACTATGATAAGTTTTAATAAGTTCATATTAAGTTTAAATAAATTCAAATAAGACAAAATAAATCCAGATAAATGAAAATCAGGTTATTAAAAACACCTTTAGTGTCAAAAGCAACCAATGAAGCAGAGTCAGCAAAAACAATTATACAATTCACCAAATTTATAAACGGATTTTTCACCATATACCTCTAAGTTTTTTTTTTATTCACCATATACCTAATTTTTTTTTCAAATTCACCATATACTCCTGAGTTAAAGAAAAATGTCAACAAATGCCCAAATGACTAACGGACTTTAACTCCGTTAGTCATTAGAGTTAAGTATGCCACATGGCAGCATATTGTTGGTTGCCTTTCTCATTAATTAATTATTAAATTACTTATTAAAAAAAAACCCACCACCAGCCCACCCCCCAACAACACTAGCAGCCCATCCCCAACACCACCACCATGTTCCCGCCACCAACCTTGTTCCCACGCCGGTGGCCGGCACCTTTTTCGCCCTGAACCCCCGCACCGACGACCCAGCCACCTCGACGCCATTTCCTTCCCCCAAATCTCAAAACCCCCTTTCTCCCTCAAATTACCCTCCCCTCCCCACCGCCAGCGTCAAAACCCCCCTCCTCACGCCGGCGAACCCAAATGGCCCCTCCCCCTCAAAGATCCACCCTTTAAACCACCATTTCAGAACCCTAAAATATAAAATCCTAAAATCAAAAGCTAAGGTTTCAATTTTGGGGTTTTTGGGTTTCGGGGTGGTGGTTTATGACCAAGGTGGGCAACGGCGACATAGGGGAAGGTGTCTGGAGTCTTGCCAACAAACGGGTTTTGGGTGGTGGATCGGAGGCTGATTTTCGGCGACGGTGGAACGGGGGTGAGGTTTCCGCGATTTTAGGGGTCTCGTGGTGGTGGTTTTTACGGTTTAAGAGCTTTGGGAAAAGGGCGGCGCCGGCACGGTGGGGAGGGTGGTCTAGGCACTGGCGGCGGGGAGGCAGCTGCCACATGGGGGCGGTGGCCTAGCGCCGGCAGAAGGTGGCCGGTGGTTTTTTTAAAAATAAAATTTTTTAAAATTTTTTTTTAAAATAATTAATAAACTAATATTATATAACCAATAAGATGCTGCCACATGGCATACTTAACCCTAATGACAAACGCAAGTAATTGTCGTTAGTCAGTAAGGGCATTATGTGACAATTTCATGAAACTCGACTATATATGGTGAATTTGAAAAAAAAGGGTATATGGTGAATAAAAATATAACTCAGGGGTATAAGGTGAAAAATCCGATTTATAAAGTGATTAGCAAACTAGAGAGGTGAGGTCATGCTAAGGTAGGGGAAAACATCAAGGCGTATTTCAAGGCTATATTTCATAAGAGCACCCATAATGAGTGACTCAAGAGTCAAGACCCTCCCCGCAATACTGTCTCTCCTGTTTTGAGGTAGCTAACCATTGTGATAGGTGACTCATGGGGTGAGGCTCCTTGCCTCCTCTCTTTTCTAAGTCACTGACCGCCTCAGCACATGAGCCTAGTGACAAACAAGAAGATGGCAAGTGGCAAAATTTTGCATTTTGCATTTTTTTTTTTTTTTTGCCCAAAATTAACATAAAACAATTTTTTTAATTGTAGTGAGCTACCTCACCATTGTGAAAAAAATTAAATGAGTGACTCATAATAATGACTCAAGTTAGTGGAGTATGATGTAGAAGAGTTATAAATTTATAATTGAAGAGAGAAATTGTGAGCTACTTCACCAATGTGGATGCTCTAAACACAATTACAACAGATCGATAGATTCCCTCGTCGAAGAAGGCGATATGAAAGAGGATATGAAGAATGTACGATTTGCAACAACGATCGTAGCTCTGTTTGAAGGATATTTTTATTTGATTCAACGGTCATGTATTTTAGATTTAAATATCTTTGTAAATGTCGTATGACTTTTTATTTATGAATCAATCTTTATTAAAAAAAAAAAAAGATTCATCCTCCTCTATCATTCAAAAGTTCTAATATGTTGTTGATCCTATTACAAAGGCTAATCTAGTTGCTATTTCATCATTATCCCAAAGAAATAAAATAAAACAACCCTATGATTTTGGGATAGAAGATTATAAATGAATCTTAATGTTGTAACAGTTTAAAACTTCTCAAGCTCTAATTATATCTTTAATATTTTATTTTATTTAAAACTAATTAGCTTAAATATTGCTTAAATTGTGAAAAAGTAATTTAATACCGAGTAGTAACTATGTTACAATCCTTATCCTAGTAGGCTAATTAGAATAGTACAAGTAACTTATTTATGGAAAGTAATAAATAATATCATTGCCATAAGAGCTATATTTAGAAAAATAACAAAAAAACATTAATTATATTGATAATGTAATATCTATGGTAAGAGTAACATGTTAAAAAATCTATTTATTGTAATACTTATTCGATTGGATAAATCAATTAATCAATGCCAAAAATTGCATCAATCTCAATCCGATAATGTCAAGTAATTAGGAACGGAGAGAATATAGATAACTAATGGACGGAATGACGGTGAAACAGATTATTTGCCATCAGAATCTGCATATGATAGGGAAAAATAAAAATCCAACGCATTTGAGAAGGTTCCTAACACACGACGTGTGGCCTAAATTAATTTCCCCACAATTTGCAACTTCACCCTCTTCGTTTCCACTCACCGCAGTCGCACTATTACTCCCTTTCTCTTCCCCACCTCATAAATTTTCGGTTACTTCTCCAATCCCCAGATATTATTTTTCATTTATTTTAATTTTTGCATCTTCTTCAACCCAAAAACACAAACAATACCGCCGTTAAACATGGTACAGAAACCATCTCGATTTCTCACCACCACTTCATTCAACCCTCCCACCCTCAACAAATACCCCAAACAACACGAAGAAGAAGAAGAAGAAGAAGAAGAAGAATTCAACGAATGTGACGTCGTTTGGTCTACCTCATCCTCGCCGGAGAAAACCACCACCGTTGAAAACCCGGCCATAACAATCTCCTCCACTACCGGAATCTCCGCCGCCTTACTCATCCCCGAAGAACCCCGAAGTCCAACATCAATCCAACGCAAAACGACGACGTCTCCTGTTTCAATGATTTCGTCGTCGTTCAGTCGTGGTAATGGGCCTGGGTTAGCGGGCTACTATTATGGGAGGAAGTTTCATCAGTCGGCCCCTGTTAATGTCCCGGTTTGGCCCAATGGGCTTGGGAGTCGTAGGAAGCGGGCTTTTGTTGGGCTGGGCCGGTTTGATGAAATGGATGATGGTGGTGATTTGTTGGATGATGATGGTGAAGAGATGGTGCCGCCTCATGAGATTGTTGCTAGGTCGCATAATGCGACGTCGTTTTCGGTAATGGAAGGTGCTGGAAGAACTCTTAAGGGTAGGGATTTGACTACTGTGCGAAACGCTGTGTTTCAAAAGACTGGCTTTCTCGATTGATTTTTTTTTTTTTTTTTTTTTTGTATAGTGGAGGTGGGAAAAAATTTTTAAAGTTTTTTTCTCTTCACTAATTTAGAATTCAGATATTATGAATATTCGGTGGGAAAATATTTACTTTATTTTTAAAAATAATTATTTTATTACTCAGTATTTTAATAAGTGTTACAGTTTGATCAAACATGTATATCGAGAAAGTATATTATAACGAATCGGAGGAGGTATGGTTTTTGTTCTGTTTGGGTTGGGAGAGCTAGGACATGTGATGTGAGGGATCAGGGATGTAGCTAATTTTGGAATTTTATTTTAGTAATATAAACTATAAAGTCAGAAAAATATTCGTAGCATTAAATGAATAGTTATAATATATATAAAAAATTAATTATTGGTAAACAAATTGTTAATTGTAACCTACTCCCTCCGTCCCCGAAACTTCGACCCTTTTGGGTTGATTTCGCGAGTATTAAGAAGTTAAATTGGAAGTGTAAGAGTGTATGGGAAAACTAAAAAAAGTACATTAAAAAGGGAAATTTATATTGAAATTGCAAAAAAGTAGAGAGAGAAAGTAATAAAAGTATATAGAAAAAGCAAAATTTGCATGGGGAAGCTAATTTTGCACAAATATTATTGTAAATTAAAGGGTATTAAAATGCAAATGGGATGAACATTTTGGGACTAAAATTAGGCCATAAAGGTCGAAGTTTTAGAGACGGAGGGAGTAGTTAATACTGTATATATAATTAAAATTGTTAATTATAATTCTTAACGAAAAAAATTGTTAATCGTAATTTAATTGTAACAGCCACGTTATAAAAATTACATCACTTAAGCATATCTATGAAACTTTTACTATGTTTTACCAAGTATCAAATAAAATTCAGGTGAAAAAAAAATGTTACTTTAGATAGACTAGACAATACATAGTACAATATGCAAATATTACCTCCTTTTTATTTGTCGTTAACACCCTTATTTTATCACGCTTGCCAACACACTATTTTAACAATTAATATTATAAAATTATAAAAAGTGAATATATTAATAAAATATATGCATTGAAACGTAGGAAGTATATAATAAATATATAAAATATACAAATTATTGCAGTATCTAAGTATAATATCTCTAATTTGTATTACTGTACATTATTATCTGTTCAATTTCCTAATCCACTTCATTCTCTGTTGGTAATACAGGCCATTAGCCTATTTGGACTGAATTAATAGTCTCAAATTAGTATACAACTATACATTAACAGGAATATCAACTATCAAGCTACGAGCATTCATATATGATATATCTGCAGACAACAAAGGCTTAATAGCAACTTTAGCTAATTGTATATTGTATACTTTGTTGAATTATTTAGATTATTGATGACAAAATTCATCTTGCTTAATTAGTTTGCTTAGGGAATGGTGTTGCAATTAATTAAACAAATAATAGAGCAAGAACAAGTCATATGCAGCAATGGTGAATTTCGCCAGATCGAGCTATGGCAGCCCGATCGAGTGCGAGAGCGAAGGTGAATTTCGTTGTACCTCCGCCATATCGGGCCACCACCGCTCAATCAGGCGCGGTATGTGAGGTGGGAAAATACCGCAGAATCATTCGATCGGGCAACCACCGCCCGATTGGCCCGTAAGTGCTGTTGTGTTGACGCTGCTATTTCATTCGATCGGGCTTTCATCGCCCGATCGGCCCCGAGTGTTTTCTGGGTTTATTGCTGCTTGTTGACGGTTAAGTTGATGCCTTTTTGTTATATATATATAGAAGTTAGAGAATAAAAGAAAGAATAGGAACTTCCATTTTCATTCTCACGTGTACTTAGTTGAAGGATCAAGAAATTCTATTTTGACACAATTTTCATACATTTTTAATGTGAAGATGATCCTTTGACCTACGATGAGGCTATGAGGTCTCGTGATGCTCTATTTTAGAAGGAAGCTATTAATGATGAGATGGAATCTATCGTGGGAAGCAATACTTGAGTGTTAGCTAATTTACCACCAAAATGTAAACCAATAGGGTGCAAATGGATGTTTAAAAAGAAATTGAGGATTGATGAAACGATTGAAAAGTTCAAAGCCCGATTAGTGGCACAAGATTTTACACAAAAAGTCTGGTATCGATTATTTCAATACATATGCACTTGTTGCTAGAATCTCAACTATAAGGTTGTTGATTGCACTTGCGGCAATCCACAATCTTGTGATCCATCAAATGGATGTCAAGACGGCGTTCTTGAATGGAGATCTAGAGGAAGAAGTTTACATGCGACAACCGGAAGGGTTTTTTGTGGAAGGTCAAGAAGGAAATGTTTGCAAGTTTATTAAATCTTTGTATGGGCTAAAACAAGCATCTAAGCAATGGCATCAAAAGTTTGATGAGGTTGTGTTGTCTAATGATTTCAAATTGAACAATTCAGACAAGTGTATTTATAGCAAATTTGATGACGACGGTCAAGGTGTTATAATTTGTCTATATGTAGATGACATGTTGATATTTGGAACGGATTTGTCACAAATTGAAATGACAAAGTCTTTCCTTATTTCAAAGTTTTGCATGAAAGACATGGGAAAAGCGGATGTCATCTTGGGCATAAGGATAAAGAGGAAAAAGGAAGGTTGTTTTTGTCACAATCTCATTACATTGAGAAAGTGCTCAAGAAATTCAATGTGAGTGATGACTCTACTTCTCTTTATCCAATACCTATAGATCCTAGCATAAAGTTGATACCAAATGAAGGTAATGCAGTTTCACAACTTGATTATGCTAAAGTAATAGGTTGTTTGATGTATGCCATGACAAGTACTAGACCGGATATTGCTTATGTAGTTGGTCAACTAAGTAGGTACACTAGTAAGCCTAGTATGCTACATTGGCAAGCGGCGACGCTTGTTGAAATACTTGAAGAAAACCAAGGTGTTTGGTTTGTCTTATAGTAGATATCCTTTAATTGTAGACGAGTATTCGGATGCAAGTTGGATCTCTAATAAAAATCATTTCTCCGCAAGTGGATGGGTTTTCCTTTATGGAGGAGGTGCCATTTCATGGGCTTCTAAGAAGCAAACTTACATTGCGGACTCCACAATGACATCGGAGTTCATTGCTTTGCATTCGGCTGGTAAAGAAGCCGAATGGTTGAAAGATCTCATGTTTGAGATTCTTTTGTTGCCGAAACCGATATCACCAATAGTGATACATTGTGATAACAATGCTACCTTGGCAAGGGCTTATAGCCAAGTTTTTAATGGTAAGTCAAGGCATATTGGAGTACGGCATAGTTATATCCAAGGGCTTATCAAGGATAGTGTGATTACTATTGATTATGTTCGAACAAATCTTAATCTCGCCGATTGTTTTACAAAGGCATTAGCAAGAGATGTTAGTAATAGGATGGCAATCGGTTTAGGATTGGAGCCCTAAATAATTACAAATGAGGGAGTCTTAACTTAACACCCAATAAGACGTTGGGTCTTAAGTTCAATAAGATTAACTTTCTCATTTGCTAATTGGGAACTTGTTTAATCATCCAAGGTAAAGTTCTGGATTTTCTGTGATGTAAAAGAGCTTGTTTAACTTAATAGAATGCCTGATATTGTGCTTTGTCACAGGAGCATGTTTTAACACTCTACCTATATAAGTACGAGGTTTAGCCGCTTCAAGAAGCTATTAGGGGCATAGCTTTGATGTACTTATAAATAGATATGGACACATGGCTTATAGTGTCAAGTTAATATGTATTTAAGTAATTAATCTTGTGTGTGTAATATCTTCAAGTTTCCAATATGTGTTGCTTTGGTTCAAAAGTTTTATGATACCAAATGGATACGGCTTCTTAAATTGTATGTTGCACTAAGTGGAAGTTCAAGTCTTTGTACACTTTCATTTATGCATAGGATTGTTTTGTGATGATGATGTTATTTTGCAATGAGTCAATTTTAATACTCTAAATGGGGGAGGATTGTTGAATTCTTTAGAGTATTGTTAACAAAATTCATGTTGCTTAATTAGTTTGCTTAGGAAATGGTGTTGCAATTAATTAAACAAATAATAGAGCAAGAACAAGTCATACACAACAATGATGAATTTCGCCAGATCAAGCTATGGCAGCCCAATCGAGAGCGAGAGCGAAGGTGAATTTCGTTGTACCTCCGCCAGATCGGGCCACCACCGCTCGATCGGGCACGTATGTGAGGTGGGAAAATACCACAACATCATTCGATCGAGCAACCACCGCCCGACCGGGCCCGTAAGTGCTGTTGTGTTGACGCTGCTATTTCATTCGATCGGGCTTTCACCGCCCGATCGGGCCCGAGTGTTTTCTAGGTTTATTGGTGCTTGTTGTTGACGATTAAGTTGATGGCTTTTTGTTCTATAATTTTTGATGGAAGTTAGAGAATAAAAGAAAGAACATGAACTTCCATTTTCATTCTCTTGTTTGCAAAGTTCTTTAATTTTTCATTATCACAAATCTCAAACACTTATCTACATTGTATTGTAATCATCCTATTTATGATTGCAATTGGCTTTCGTTGTATCTCCTAAGTAAATTTCCGTGATACCCGGTTGTAGTATAGGGTCGAAATTATACTTTTGGGAAAGTGATCCCGCTCACGCCCCGAAGAATTTTCTGTTAATTTCGTTTGCTGTTCTTTTTGACCCTTGTTACTACCATATTCCCCAGCATACTTGTATGAGATTTGAACATAAAACAATAGTCAATTCTATCAAAGCAATGTTGTATCACTTGTATTTATTTTTGCTTCACTTCTATGTAATTGGTGTCGTATTGACTGATTCGCCTTTAGAGTCCTAAATTAAGTATTTCTCTATAAGCTTACCCTACTATCAAACTATTCCTGCACCTTCTTCTACCATCATGAGATGGGAGGCTTATGCTTCGCCAAGGCAAGTATGGATGATGGAAGTATCCACAGCCCATCTCCACATATCAGTCCCGAAGCCACTGCAGGAACCATCAACCCTGCTTTCTGGCTGTTTAACCTATGCAACACAAATACTACCAAGCTCCCAACACACATGTCGATGGCAAAATAAGCTCCTACGAGGAAAGGCACAGCCATTGCCATTGGAAGTGGTACCCACTTCCCGATCTTTTTAGGACAGGTATCCCTCACTAAGTTGGTCATGACAGCAAACCCAAAAAATGCATAGCATAGTTGCAGGCAGTGTTGAGGTAAAGCAGAAAAGCCTTGCACTCCAAGGATAGCCATGTTCCGATAGATAAGGGCATATGGAGCCTTGTACTCTCCATCAGGGTTACCAACATCAAACACACTGTAAAACAGGAAAAACGTGAGTGGGGCCACAACACACCCGATTGCAGTCCCGATAGCCTGGCTAAGAAGCATTGACCTAGGGGATGTGAGGGTAAGGTGGCCAGTCTTGAAATCATGCATCAGATCAGAGGAAATGGAAACAATGGACTTGATTAGACCACAGCCCACAAGCCCCGCAACAACACCAGTATTTTCGCCCGATAGAGCAGCAAGCATGAAAAGTGCAACTTTTCCATAATTATAGGC